TGTTTGCATGGAAAAGATTAATTTTATGTGTTGAAACAGTATTAATCTTTAATTTTCTTTGGGAAAAAAAAACCCTACAGAATCCATTGGTGCTGAATTTAAATTGTTTTCGTTATAACACTTAATGATTGGGTAATTGGAGCCAGAATAAATGCATGTTTTGTTTTCTTAACTTTATAATCTGAGCTCATTTAGATGTTATGAAGGATAAAAACAGAATATGAATGATTTTAGTATTCAATTAGATTTTGCAAATCTCATTTATTATGGCAGGTTAATACACTCCACAAATGATTTGCAGATCTAGCTTCACAGGCCATGCATGCTGTTTATACTTCTATTTTTTTTCCTCCCATTCAAAAAATTAAATGTGCGTTTACTCTAAAGTTTTGTTTTATTGTGTCTATCTGAAATAGTATTATTAATTCCAATGGTTTCTAAACTAAAGAAACCATTTTCTGAGTTTCAGCTTTTAATCATTCCACTCTTGTAGTACTGGATTATTTTCCTTCTCACTGCTTGGACAGCAGAGGGGGCAATACCAGTGCTTCAACATTCAGGATAGAATAATGCTTTATATATGCTTGGTTATTTATTTAAAGGATCTGTATGGCTGCTCATGTTATATAACGTAACTCTGGATGGCTAACAGGTAAATAACAATACAAAACTTTCTCATGTCACCAAACTTCATAATAATTCCATCACAAAGCTACAAACGACAGGCTCTCGCTCTCTCTCCCTCTCCCTCCTTCCCCCCTCCCATCCCCCAGATCTTAGCAGCCATATTAAATAGAGTTGTATTATACAAGAGTTCATAGAATCAGACAATCAGGTTGCTGAGCTTTGCTTCTTAACATAATTAACATAACTAGTGCTGCAATTAATATAATCCTCTGATATTGACTATTGGGACTTTGTAAAAATCAGCCTTGTAAAGTCATATGTTTACACGGGGAAAAAAAATAAATTGATTTTAAAAAGACTGCAAGTTACTTGATCAAATTGATTTATTTTTCATGTTAGCTGAATTACAAATAAATGCATGTTTATGCAATTGCTACATTAAGATGCTTGAAACAGCAGTTAATTTTTTAAAAAAATAATCATCTGGCAATAACTGAACGCTAGTATTCTTGTTTAGCTGGAGTTTTGTGCAGTAAAAAACATGTTCCCTGTCCTTATGTCCTTATCCACCAATGGATTTTATAACTTGTATAAGACAATCGTGGCTAAGCATCATGAATATTCTCTTTCATTTGCGTGAGCTTCAGAGGTGACTGCTTAGCAAAGTGAGTAATCTTTTACATAAAACCTGTGTAAAAATGAGCAATTATTAAACAGTGGGTAAATCATGACAGTTATTTGGAGCTGTTTGGGTCTAACGCAAGTTTAAAGCCATTGCTGTGGAAAACAAACAGGGCTGTGCTACCTAAAAGAGATTGCAGTGTAGGAGAACCTCTCTTTAAATAGATAAAGAATGCAGAAGCGGCTTCATGAACTTTGTAAACAATTTTTCTGTTTTAACAATTCTAAAGAGTGGTGCTTTGCACAGCCTTATCAAATAGAAGTGCAGTCAAGGACAGTAAAACCTTCGGCAATTTGTGCATATGAGTTGCAATACTGTATATACAATTACCACAGTGTTTCAGGTATACCGTGTGTAATGCATGCTACAAAACAAATACTTGTTAAATGTCCCACACCGATTGCCCATTTGTCCTCTAATGGGAGTTTTTTTTTTAAATCAATTATTTTCTGTAAAAACAGCTTGGAAAAAAATACCTAACATCAGTAGTCTTATGTTGCCAGTACTGTAGTAGTTTGCTTGCTCTCTTGAGTTTACAAAATACTAGGTAGCTATGCCTTCTTTCAGTAAGGCAAAGGGCAGATAAATATTAGAAATGAAAATATCGGTTTGATCATAAAATAAGGAATGATAGAGTGATGAAATCCAACATAATAATAAAGACTTCTATACATAATACACTAGAAAGCCTGACTGAAATAATATTAGAATTTTGCCATGTAAGCTTATTCTGGTCCTGCTGAGCTCTTAAAAAAAACAACAATACTAGCACGTTAAATGATATTCAGAAATGAAATGGCAGTTTGGTAGCTCATTAAAGTGGGAAGAAGATTCTTATGACCACTTCCAGTTCATAACTTAGCAGCTGTGTTGTGTAACTGAGGTTCTAATTAAGACTTCAAATGCTGCCTTCTGACTTAATATGTTACAATAACCTAATATGAAGATAGAATGTAGGTGCATCCTCTTAACTCAAAAGTGTTCAGTTCTACAGTTCTATAGTTTCACTTAGCTACAATTTCAGGTAGTACTACTCTTTCTTTTACAGCACTCACATTACTCTAATTGAGTAGTATGTGAACAATTTGATTCTCCTTGCACCTGGTGGGAAGACTGAGTGGCATCATCTTCCCATCAGATAAACTGTCCATCAAGAGATGGACAATATTTTCCAGAGTAAGCTAGTTGTCAAATTAAACTAGTATTGTAACATATTCATGAAGCTCTAGAATAATTGATAAAATGGAAACTAGAGGAACAGTAGAGTTTCCATTTTACCAATTATTCTAGAGCAGTGTTTCTCAACCTTGACAATTTTAAGGCATGTGGACTTCAACTCCCAGAATTCCACAGCCAGCAATGCTGGCTGTGGAATTCTGGGAGTTGAAGTCCACATGCCTTAAAATTGTCAAGGTTGAGAAACACTGTTCTAGAGCTTAACGCAGATGTACAATTCTAGCTTAATTTCAGAATTTTCCAGAACTTTATTCTGATGTTAGAGGCTCCTTAGATGATCTGAGCTACAACAATACTTTCAATCTTATATTTAAATATACCTTTTAAATTCAGTGCCTCCTATTGTTGCAGATGTAGTTGTCTCTGTTATGAGGTTTAGGCTAGGCAAAAGAGGAGTGAAAAATGGGGTAATAGTATAGCGAGGAACAATAAGCTCTCTACTGAATAATAAGTCCTTGCCTTGCACTCAACAATATAATCATGGCATTGCACATGATTCGTTCAATAGAATAATGGCTATTTTGCATACTAGGTATGGGTAATCCCAAAAAGTAGATTAGAGAGATTAACAACATTAATTCTACTTCACCAATTTCTTGGTATGGTTTTTCTAATCTGGAAACAACAATGACTTTTTAATCAAGAAGGACTGCTAACTCACAAGAAAAGTTAACTCTTGTACAGGCTAGAAATTAATCGTGGACAAAGCCACAGCCAAAACATAGTAATGACCTTTCTCCTATCTCCCTCCATTTCGTTTCACATAATTCATTTCTAAAATGATATTTGACGTCAAGGATGAGAGGAAGCCTAAATCCAGCCTAGATCAAGTTGGAGATGATGGCAGTCAGGTGGGATACCTTATTTTGTCTTTGTAACATTGATCAAAATGTTCTTAACAGACACAGGAACAAAATTTGCATTTCTGAAGGAGAAATTATATCTATTTAAAACTAGCTGTACCCGGCCACGCGTTGCTGTGGCTCAGTCTGGTTAAGCTGTTTTTCAAAAAAAGCATGTTTTTACCTGTCACAGGTGTGACATCTATATAATAGTAGGTATATAAAAACACGTGCGTATTCGAATGCAACGTTGTGTCAAAATTTCAAAGCAATCGGTGAAGAACTTTTGGAGATTTAAGATTTTGAACAAACGAACATTTACATTTTTATTTATATAGATAAGCTAGCTATCTTGCATGTATGAGATTTCATCCCATTCCCTATCACATGTTTTTTTTATCTTTCAGAATCAAAAAGTTGTGCCCCGAAGTGATTTGCACTTATTCTTTATGCCCATCTAACACATAAACATTGAAAATCAGTAAATTTAAAGGCAACAATCTTAATACATTCATTTGGAAATAAGTTTGATTTCATTTTAACAGTCTTTGATTTGAAATAACCCTCTGTAAGATTATATTATAAAGTATTCATTAGTAACAAGTGAACATATGGGGGCACTCCATCATTAGAGATTTTTAAGAAGAGACTAGACAATCACCTGTCTGAGATGGTATAGGTTCTGCTTGAGCAGGGGGCTGGACTAGAAGACCTCCAAGGTCCCTTCCAGCTTCTATTCTATTCTATTCTATTCTATTCTATTCTATATACCTAAATCTAATCTTAGCTAACAGACTGGTTTTTACTGAAAATCACAGTAATTTATTTATTGGGGGTTTTATGCCAGTTCAATACAGAGGGACAATGAGTAGCTTATATTCCCTTCTTTCAGTAAGAATTTTCAAATAGCAAAACAATTAATGCCAAGTAATTCACATGTTCTGAAATGGTAATGCCAAATGAGAGAAAAATAGAGTTGCTACTTCTTGAAAAATAAATCCAATTCTCCTAAATCTAATTCTCCTATAATTAAAAAAAACTTTTTGAAGATTTTTTTTAATTTTAGGAGAATTAGATTTATTTTCTTTCTTACAGATCCAGCAATTTTCCTCTCTATGATGGGTGGACAACTTTTGGCCCATTCCCTTCAACCTGTGCCAAAACTCAGTGGCAAAATGATACAATTTTGGTTATTTTTCCAGGTTTGGAGGTTGTTTCAAGGATGAGATGAATGCAGTTTGTCTCGAGGAATCTTCCCACAACCATTCTTATCTTTAACCATCCCTCCTACTGCCAAAGGCCACATCTCTTCCAGCGATGTCCCCTTTGGTTTGGTTTATCTGCTGTGGATCCTACTCTGCTCACTTAAGCTACAGGATATGACTGTACAATGGCAGGTTACAATGGGAATGCCTCTGCTTCTTTCTGTTCCCTGTTCTTTCTCTGCAAAATCCCCATCTAGTTCAAAATGTGGCTAATCTCTTTTCCCTCTCACATATTTTATAGATTTGATAGTTTGTAGAAGGAAGGTGTATAGAGAGAAGAAAATTAGTCTGTCTGCCTTGTTAAGCCTTGTTTTCTGCGATTGCGCTTAACAGTCTCTCCCATTCTGCAAATTTGATGCACCGATTCTCCAGTGTCCAATATAGCCTCCCTTGAGCTATCAAGAGCGATAAAGCCCTACTGCCAGTAGTTACAATCAGGCAGAATGGAGAATTTAGAAATTTGCTATCATTGCAAGGCATGGCCCCAGTCTGTGACTTACGTATGGCTGTCTTGTTTTCTGATGCGAAAGCCTCAAAAAGGGATGCGGTTGCATGAAATCCAAGTCCAATCTCAGATGGTATTTCATCATCCAGAGAAGGTCCAGAACACACCCTAACAAAACTGATAATTGTTGCTGTTCAGGAGGGGTTGCTCCACTTCTCCCGACTCACAGGATTCTTCAAAGTAGCTGGCGGGCTCACATCCACTGTCTTCTTCCTCTCTGGGGCAGGGTAAGTTTGTATAATCCTTCACGATACGGAGGAGGAGAGGAAGAGAGAGAGAAAATGCAAACATACTTCAGAGTCTGAAATGTGTTATTTTGAAAAAGGTAAATTTAAATTAATTAAAATTAATTTACTCTGGCCTTGAGATCAGTGTTGCAGTATTTATATATTTATCCCCGTAGAGCACTCAAGCTACTGTTTATATCATTTTTACCTCATTTTTCATTTTTCCAGGCATACAAATGACTGTGTTTGGGTGTATATGTGGAGAACAAGGTTTAAAGGAGAGAATGAGGAGCAGCCTAAGGTGTTTATGACAACCTTTGTGATAAAATCAAAAATGTGAAAGAACAATCTTAGAGGGCTGAACCAGCTACTTGTTTTTGAATTTTTATAAAATAAACCATTCACCTGTTCCTTAATGGCATCCAGCTGTTTCTGAATTAAGGTGCAGATCTGACTGAAAGTAGGCCGCTGAGTGGGCTCCAATTTCCAGCATGCCATCATTATATTGTACCTGTATTGGAGACGGGAGGTGGGCAAGGAAGAAAAATCTGAGTCTGATGCTTTCAGAAGCAAATTGCATGATAATATTGACAGCTGATTGGACAGTCCCTGGCCTTATAATTCTGGCTTAGAATCTGCATCTTTGGTCTCCTTGGGTACTATTGTGCCGTCTCATTCCTCCTTCGGCATGGTTCAGGCTCCATGACCGATCGGAGTTTTCTTTGAAAAATATTAAGAATGCATGAATAGGAAATTAGCAGTTAGATTATTTGTGGGTATCATAAAGCTTCTGTTCCAGTCTTCCTGCATGTAGCCATTAAATTCAATGGGCTGAATGTCTGAGTGGATGTACTACGGTGCTGCCAAAGATAACTAACTGAGATGGCCGGGAGTCTTTTCTCAGCATAAACATCAACCTTTCTGAAAGGAGGGAAAGGAGGGAATCCCATGTAATCAGCCCTGATTGGATCATTTTCAGATTCACTCACACAGGGTTTATGGAAAAATGAATGGAATTCAATTGAACACAAATGATTCCCATGAGACCAGAAGAACCTGTAAACAGGTTGACAGAGCAAACATCACAAGCATTCTGAGCAACATCTTGAAAGATATCAAGGTTCCCTCAGGTTTTTTTGGATGGATGGATGGGTGGATGGATGAGCACCTGGAGCTGAAATTCTTTTACTTACATATCATCTGGAGCAAAATCTGGCTTCCCCATATGATATCCTTGTTTCACAAGGCTATAAAACTTGTTATTCACTTTCATGCCAGGATAGGGACTTCTTCCTATAAATACAAGAAAATAGGTAATGCTTGTATAGAGGAAGGACCCTGCAGTTTTAGAATGCTCCCTATAGAACTAGCTAAAATTTCTTAGGAGCCAGTTTCACCTCAGTCATTCTTTGCAGGTAGTTTGAGGGCAAGATCAGAGAAAACAGAGGTACAAAGACAACAGGTAAGTATTTTTCAGGCTAGGAGCTACACTTCTTCATTCCATCCTGCTTGGCCTTTGCAGGAGTCATGATTAGTGCTTGGAGCTGAACCTTTCTGATTGTTTTAAGAGTAAAAATATTTAATTTTTGGAGCAGGGTTTAAGGGATGATTTTTTTCTCATTAAAACCCACCAATCTTCCTGGTTTAAGGTGATTGAAATTTTGGAAGGAATGCTATAAAAGCCTTTCATTCCTGAAAACTTGTCTTGACTCCTCAGAATGAAGTGTCCCCTGCTATTTGTCTGCAGCAAGCCAAAACTGCATTGAAATGATAGCACATATATAGTAATGTGATGGTCCAAAACTGCTCTGATATACTGGCATCCCTATTTATATAAAATGCAAGCATGTAAGTCTGGCCAAAAAAGCGAATGCAATCTTAGGCTGCATTAACAGAGGATATAATTAAGATCAGGTGAAGTAACACTTTACAAAGCCTTAGTATGGCCACACTTGGAATACTGCATTCAGTTTTGGTCACCACAATATAAAAAAGATTTTGAGACTCTGAAAAGAATGCAGAGAAGAGCAACAAAGATGATAGGGGAGTGGAGGCTAAAACATATGAAGAAAGATTGCAGGAATTGGGTATGTCTAATTTAATGAAAAGAAGGACTAGGGGTGATATGATAGCAGTGTTCCAATATTTGAGGGGCTGTCACATAGAAGAGGGGCCAACCTATTCTCCAAAGCACCTGAGGGCAGGACAAGAAGCAATGGCTGGAAACTAATCAAGGAGAGAAGCAACCTAGAACTAAGAAGAAATTTCTTGACAAGTAGAACAATTAAACCAGTGGAACATCTTGCCTTCAGGTGCTCAAACACTGGAAATTTTAAAGAAGAGATTGGACAACCATTTGTCCAGAATGGTATAGGTTGGATTAGAAGATCTCCAAGATCCCTTCCAACTCTGTTATTCTGTTAATCATATTTTTGCATCATGAGGTGGCTTGCACAGGCATGAATCCCAAAGCCGCATTTTTGACAAAGCCTTTCCACATAGAAAGAGGCAGGCAGGCATAAACAAACCAATAAAGAAATGTTCTTCCCTTACCTAGGGAGAATATCTCCCAGAGAAGGATGCCATAAGACCACACATCGCTCTGTCCTGTGTAGACACATTCAAAGATGCTCTCCGGTGCCATCCATTTCACTGGGAGGCGAGCCTGGAATGATACGCTATAAACTCAGAGAGGAGGAAGCCCTTATGCTTAGCATTCCCCACAGGGACGCTATAGAGGTTAAACATTAGAGCACCTCCTTTGCATGCAGATGATCCCTGAGATTTCCAGGGACAACTGGGAGGGATACTTAGACAGTGGCTATCAATCAGTACAGGCATTTCAGTGCCAGGTAAAGCTAGAGCTTGATTCAGCTTTATGGGATGTAAATGTATAGATCAGTGATGGTGAACCTTTTAGAGACCGAGTGCCCAAACTGCAACCCAAAACCCACTTATGCATCGTCGAGCGCCGGGTGGGTGTGGCCCATTGGCTGGGTGTGGCCCATTGGCTGGGCGTGGCTGCGGTGGTAATGGCAGACTGGATGGAACTAAAAAGTTCAATCAATCAATTCCAACTATGCAAGATTTTTTTTTTCCCATGAGAAGTTGAAATTGACTGATTGAACCTTTTTTTTTTTTTTTGCACATGGCGGCGGAATAAAGCGAAAAGGTTTTATAAAACCCAGCTGAAGGCCTAGGACTGGGGCGACGGCGCGCGTGCCCACAGAGAGGGCTCTGAGTGCCGCCTCTGGCACCCGTGCCATAGGTTCACCACCACTGGTATAGATTCATTCCAGTTTAGGGAAGAAAGAGAAGGAAGGGAGAAAGGAGAGGAGAGAGAAAAGAATAAAGGAGGGGAGAAGGAAGTAGGAAGGTTGGAGGAGAGAGTGGTGAAAGAGAAGAGGAGAGGAGAGGAAGAAGAGGGAAGTAGGGAAGAAAGAGAAGGAAGGGAGAAAGAAGGTAGAGAAGAAGGAGTGGGGATGCAGTAAAAGGGGAAATGGGCGAGCAACACCAAAAGTCATGTGCATGTATTTATTTCATTAAAA